GTCAAGTGGATGAAGCACTAAGTCAAAATCAAAGTCAAGTTTCGAACACAAAGAAGCTTACATATAGAGTCGTTGTTATGATACATCTTTTATCAATGACCTTAGAGAGGTTTAGCTAAAATTCAATTAGTTTAAAAATAGTAATACATCAAAATATAATACTCTCTTTGGTTAAATATTCTCTAGGAAACAAAGTGTGACACAATTAGTACAATTGCAAAGTGTATAGTTGGAATTTTGGAAATAGTGGATGGAGAACTGAGCAACATAAAGGCCGAAACTTAGTTAATTCATTCATATTAAAACGTGGCAAATATAATGAGAAAATACCACTCTAAGTTTTTTTACTCATTAATTTAATGCCAAATATACTACCAATAGTGTGAGGAAATTAAATTGTACTAATTCCTATATTTGTAATAAAAAAAGGTACACACCAGACGTCATTCTCTATAGTAAAAAAGATTGAACTAATTATATTTGTATATGAGATCAGGAATGTATTCAATTGTTCGGGAGGACAACTAAAGAGTTTTGAATTGAAATGGTGAAAGTATGAGACCATGATTATCTCCTATATTTGTTTTAATGTAATGCCATAATTGTGTTTCTTGATTTACAATTCCACTTATTACGTAAGACAAAGAGAATCTAGTATCTTATATATCCAGAAGTAGTTGATAGGTACGGTGATGGACTTTGACATTAGGGAAAAAATGCAAGCAACAATATTGCATTCATAGGACCTGAGTCCATATTTTTAGAAAATGAACCAAAAATAGAAGCATGTCTTTAACTTTTTGTAATAAGAATCTATCGCATATATCTCTTCGATGTGGATTATCTTTCTCAAAGTATTATATTATTTATTGTAAGTTGAAATGAAGAGTTATGAGGCACATATTAAGGGCAAAGGAGAGAATAAATAGAATAGATGCACAATGACTGTGAAACTGATCAGAAACAGAGAATGAGTTTGATTCCAGAAAAACCTACTATAATGATTTGAGATCTTGATCCTGACTTACATAGAATATAGAGTTGAAGAATTGCAACTACGTAATGTATTCCGTCTAGTTATAAGTATCTAGCCAAAAGACATTTATTATAAATTTGCTTCTATGTTTTAGATTTGTATAGTTTCACAACTTTTTTTTGGTGTGAACTATGGTACCTCTACCAAATTTGAGGGTACGGTACTTAGTACAGATGGCCCATTAATTTTCCTCCATGTGTTCCAAACGTACACATATGATGTATTACTAAAATCTAATAGCATTCGTCCGAATTTGCTCATATGCTCCTAAAGTAACTGATAATTTGTTTGAATCCATGCTCCGTTATGTGACTTACGTCCTCCGCCAGTCTCCCTCTTCCTGATTTTTTCCATTTCTTTATCCTCAATTACTGTCGTATCTCTTCATCGCCTGTGGCTATGGCGATTGTGGCTTCAGGCAACGCACAACGGGTTAAACAACTGGCTTATACGAGCAAATAAAGTTGCTGGTCTTTTTTACAGTGGAGATATAGGGTTCCATAGCTTACACAAGGATTTTGGAGATTCCAAAGTTCAATATACTCCTCCTGGGAAATGCTTCAAACTAATGAAAATTGAGACTGGCAATTTGGCATTTATGCTTGTGGAATTTTGGTATTTGCAATTCTCGATAATCGATAGCTATTTCGCATAAATTAAAACCCTAAATTAGATGTGATGAATATATGTTGAAGAGAAACATTGCAAGAGGAAGAAACTCTCAATTGATGCGGCTGTGTTAAACTTCGGTTGCTATGCAGAGAAGGAAATGATGTCTCTTTTTTCTTCTTTGGTTGCTGTGATGAGCAGGAAACCGGAAAGGCAGTCAAGTCCTTCAATTGCGTTGGAGAGAGTAGGAAATCGGAAGGAATGCAGAGAGGCTCCTTTGCCGTTTACAACCAAAAGCGGCCGTTTGAAGCTCCGTTACAGCGAAGGGGCTAAAATGCAAAATTTAGCACTGCTAAATTAAACACCTCGCCAATAATTTATTATATCAATATATTAAACATATCCACTTGTCTAAAAATCATTAGGCCACATCAACACGGGTACGGTACCTCTATAATACATGAGGTATCGTAGAAACCACCATTTTTTGTTACTATTTACAATTGATGCTTTGAGAATTCTGTTGTTGTCGGATCAAACATATAAAAAAATTCAGATATTATTGTTATTATTGTTAGTATATATGTCCTAGCGACAATCACTTTTTAGAGATATATGTACTTGATCACATTCAATTTTATATATTTGATATATACGGTATTACACATTGACGATTAAGTATTTCAATTGTCAATATCTTATTCATAATTGTGTTCCCTTGGACTTATGTTGTCAATAAGTCAGTGGGAGCTTATATGATATAACATAAGGTCCTAAAATAGTCCCAATCAATGATCATCAAGAATGAGATATTGATGATATGCGATAAGATTGATATGTGGACTGCATCATACTTTTAGAAAGTATAGTTGATCTCACGACTATGAGTTCCCGTAATTCATGATGGTCACATAGATATTTTAGAGAATATTGGCATACCCACCGAGAAACCATTTGATAAGTTCTATTCATGTGTCTATGGGATTATCGGCGTATAGAATAGTGTAATAGTCCTTCGACTTGAGGTCAATACGTACTACATGTGAGGAATGATGTACTTTGACCATGACCAACACTTGCACTCCAATCGGGGTAGATACGGCATGTGTTGGGTGCATCACGAAGCACATGGAGTAGTAGTTGAGCCAAGAAAGAATTCATTCCTCATAATAGATTAAGAGAGAACATTCTACTTCTCATATCTAGATGGATCATAAAGTCATTGGCCAATGCAAAGATATATTCGTTTTGGATATCGAATATGATCATTATGGATCATCTAGAAAGATTGAGAGATAGAGACCAAGTTATTGGAATAGACACAATATCAAGTTCTAGACTTAGTTGAATGTTCGTTGAATGAAAGGACCGTATCACTATGAGCTCTATATTACATGGAGTTTGTATAGTCCTCGCAAACGTCCTTATATATTAAGTAAGTCTGGAGAATCGTCTAGGGATTCGCTAAGACCTTAATTTGATTAGTGTTTAATATATAAGGCCCTATGGGTCACACAACAAGTGATTATACCTTCCGATTGAATTGTTAGAAGGAATTAAATATTATTAATTGAATTAAATAATATTTAATTCGTAATACTGAAAATGAATTAAATATTAATTAGATTAAACATATTTAATTCATAAAGTTGAAGGAGAGTTATATTTGATAGAATTAATTAAGTCTGATAAATTAGATTTGTTATACTTAATTAAGATGTATTTATAATTAAATAAAGTTAGTATTTTCTTGAGTACAATTTGGAATTAAAATGGATTCAAGAAAATGCAAATAAAATAATAATATATGTACATCAAGGGAATGATGTTGTGAATTCCCCATTCCCATTTACTATATACGTACCATGTATATTATTATTATTATATCTTTATTTAATTAATTATGAGTATTAGTCCTAGTTGGACTAAAACTCATTAATGAGAAAGACTTTCACTGTGATTGAGAAACTAGTTTAGAACTAGTATAAATACATCATCCCCTTTCATAATTAAATACGGGTTTTAAGATTCAGTATTACCAGTTTATTTCCCTACGAAGAGATTTCCTAGCCTTTCTCTTAGGGAGATCTAACCGTTTTTTCGGAAAGGAGAAACCACGTGGATACCAAAGGTCAAGGATTATCACCGCTAGGCTGGAATATCTGTAAGTTCTAACTCAGATATGTTATTATTGTCATATTCGTTGTTTTGTCATAATCAGGAAAGATCTGTTTGGGAAAATTTTAAACTTCCGCTGCTGTACTTTCGAGGTACGTTACATCAATTTCCTAACAATTATTGCATAGTTGAATGTGTTGCATTTTAAGTATACACGTGATTAAGAATCACATTATATGCTGCTTAAAACTTTACAAATGTGTTTCCAATTCAGAAAAATAGCTGCGTAAAGTACTCATAAAGATGCTGCATATTATAAGTTAGTGTCACAAAATAATATAATAAACATGTTACATAAATATCAGAAAACTGTTGCCTACGACTATATGTTGAGTGTTACATACAATGACAAAAAGTGTTTCATGTAGTAATGGTTAAATAATGTTATATTAAGGTGACTTAGGCAACCCCTTTTTCAATGTTGCATAACATAATGCAATGTGTTACATATGACTTTATGCAATAAGACTTGAAGTAACACTCATATAAGTGTTGCATATACCTTTTGTAACGCTTTATCGATCTTATGTAACATATTTGATTTGTTGCAAAATACCAATTTTGTTGTAGCGAAATAAAAATTTACGTATTCATTAAACTTTTAGTATTTATTACTAGTATTATTTAAGATTTTTCCAGTTGATGTAATGGTATATGCACACTCAAAAATGGATAAAAGAGTTTCTCAATTCTCATCATACATATGTACACATTAATAGGAACAATCCAAACTCATTTGATAACACTAAAATTGATTGAATTGACTAAATATGTTGAACTATGAAAAAATAGTTAAAATATATTTTATTAAGAAAATAAAGAAAAAATATATATAAAAATAGCTTAAATGATTCTATATTGTAATTTTAACCAATTCAGTCAGAAGAATACTTCAACCTGACTACTTTGATTATTATATAATCTATTGCAAGAAATCAAATGTAATGATGAAAAATTGCTTGATAAGGCTAAAGTTGTTTTTAATTGGATAGAAATTTTCGGGTTTGGTATCGTCCGGTTTGATTTGATCCACTCTTGTAAATGTTCGATCTCTATATATTTTACAACTGTCGTAATTTAATCTAATCTGATCTGGTTAAGTATGATTTGAGGTGAGATTAGTGTTTTGTTTGGATGAAGACTTGGAAAGACCGGAATGCCGCAAGTGTAGTAGATCTGATCCGGAAAAAGGAGGGAGCACATGCAAATAAAAGAAGGAATTGGAGCGAACTGAAAATAGAACCAAATTAAAGCTGTGACAGCTCGATTCGCGTAAACCCTCCCCAGTCTCCGCCAAAACTCTTCCGTGACAGAGTGGGCCGACGGAAAAGGGAGCTGCTCGCGGCTCACCGCCCCCACTCAACTGCGGGGCGCCGTTGCCACACCAAACTATAGCGGTTTAGCGGGGCAAAAACGCCCTGCTTAGAGGGCGAGAGTTGAAACGAAGCTTCTCCGCGGAAGAAGAAGATGTCAGACCTAGACAGACAAATAGAGCAGCTTAAGAGATGCGAGCCGTTGAAGGAGTCCGAAGTGAAGTCTCTTTGTCTCAAGGCTATGGAAATCCTCGTTGAAGAAAGCAACGTTCAGAGAGTCGACGCCCCTGTCACTGTAAGTCTTAGATCCATCTCCGCGAAAGAGAAGATTCCTGTTTAAAATATACATGTACAGGTCCCATACTTTTCCAAAGTCTGTATAGTAGGGAGCTCAGTTGCGTGCGCATTGTCAATTTTCTTTCAGTTTTGCTGCACTTGCTCTTTTATCCGGGCTTTGATGTGATTGGGGTTTTGCAGCATTGTTGTTCATTTTATATTTGTTGTTTTGAAGGTTGAACTTCATTCGAATTGTGTACTTTTACAACTCTTCCTTATTATATTTGAGTGATTTTGATTAAAGAAAAAATCTTCTGGACCTAGTAGTACCCTAGTAGTACTTCTTCTGAAGAAAACACAGTTTTCTGAAATTGTTGGCCTTGTGAATGTTGTCATGGTTCAATTTCAATTTTAAACTCCATTAGCTGTTCTTCAGATGATGATAGGTCAATACAATGTTTAGGTTCATGCAGAACAATATTACTGATTTTAATTTCTGGTGCCAGATGAAAACCTAAGGAATTGCAAAGCAGATTGATTAACGTGTGAGGTTCATGATTTACTATTTATTTCCAATCGTGTACATTCACTAAAACGTTGCATCAACCATCAATACATTCTTTTCTCATTTGCTTTATGCTCTGGTGATATTCTCTATTTCTCTATACTATGAATAGGGTTTAATGACATTAGACGTTTTCTTGTAGTATCTTTTAAGTTTTAAGTTTTAACTTTTAACTACATAACTTTGTGCCACTTTCATAGAGATAACTGCCACACTGTAAGCCTACAAGGTTGTAGGAAAGCAACATAGTTCCCTTCGGGAAGGCCAAAGCTGGGCAGATTTTTCACGTTTTTGTGATTCATTCTGGGAAGCATAAAATTGGGTCAAAAAATGCAAGTTGTTGACTTGTTGGCAAGGTTTAGAATGGCTAGTTCAGGTTTAGAGGCGGTTTGTTCTGGTGAGGCGAGTTGTATGTCTCAAACTTGTTTAAAGCCAAAAGTGCTCAAAAGCAATGAGGTTGGGCTTTGCTTCACAGCAAAAGCGCAGACCTGCATTCCATTATTTTTAGACTTTAACAGTAAGATTGTTAGGATAGGGACATAGGGTGATCTAGTATCTAAATATATGAGTGAGCGTATAAATGGTTTTGGTAGGCCAAGTTTAGAATACTTAATCTGGTTGTAGATAAGTGTAAATTGAGTCTCTCATAGATGCAAAATAATGCATATATTTCTTTATGCTTTTACAGTTTTTTATTTATTTTATTCATTAGCTTACCTGATCAAATAGCTCATAGATGTGAATGATTGAATGAGATATCCATTATTTGGTAATGCAGATTTGTGGTGATATCCATGGACAGTTTTATGACATGAAAGAGCTTTTCAAAGTCGGCGGAGATTGTCCAAAGACCAATTATTTGTTTCTAGGAGACTTTGTTGATAGAGGATTTTACTCTGTGGAGACCTTTCTGCTTATGCTTGCTCTTAAGGTAGTGCTATAATAGTATTGTCAGAAGTTTCTGTGCTGCTTATGGGAGATCTCTTCTCTGAGGACGTTTGGACTACTATTATCATTCACAACTATCACAACTATCAGCTTTTTTCCAGTTTACTGTTTTATGTTGAATTTCTTAATGCATTTTGATAAAAGTGTTCACTACCAAGAGACCTAGACCTGAAACGCACGGAAACGCCGGGGGTGGGGAGTTTCCCCGTTCCGGAAACGTTCGAACGTTTCCGAGCGCAGGAAACGGGTGATACGCGAATCGGGGCCGTTTCCCAATTTTTTAATTTTTTGGAAACGCGTTTCCAAAAATTTAAACACAGATCAGATAAATTTTAGGGCCTGCTCAAACGGAACAATCAAACCTTTCATCGTCCGCTCTTCGTTCTTCAACCCTAAGGCCTACGTCCTTAAAGTTCGCCAGCTTCTCCAAAGGGCAAAGGTCGTCCGCTGTATTTGGGCTTCACAGGTCATCAACGGGCGTCGCCTCTTCACTCTTCGCAGGTCATCGTCGGCTCGCCGGCTTCCGTTCAAGTATATCCGTATATGTGATGTGAGTGATTTCAGAGCACTGGTTTTTCATCCTCCCCATCCTTCGTTTGTAAAATGAAACGCACGCTTAGTGGGCAGCGGCAATTGGCAAACTTAATCCTTCTGGCAGCTTTTTAATTGATTGAATTTGAATTGTTAAATGTTGTATAATTCAATTTAATTAGTTTTTGTATATGCAATTAAGTTTTTAATTAGATTAATTCAATTTGATTAAGTTTTGATTAACTTAGATTATTTTTAATTCTCTAGTGATGGAGGACAGTGTTAATAATACTTTTGGTGACTAAGATTTCAATAATTTTAGACTTCCTTATGGTGACATAATCTCGTGTGGCATGTTTGTACATATATATGTGTGTGTAAATATATATATATATATATACACACACACACACACACATATAAAAAAATTCACAAATATATATAATATATATATATATATATAATATTTATAAATTAACCCCTATATTTTTTATATTTGCGCGTTTCCCCCGCGTTTCGTGTCCTGTATTTTTGGTAAATGGCGTTTCTGACGTTTCCCGTTTCCCGTTTCCGTGCTACTTAGACCTAGACCACTGTGCTTGTAAGTTAAGTACTTAACTTATGTTTGGGCCTGGCACTACCGCACTAGGAAAACAGACAACGTAACAATCTTTTGTACTACCTCCATCTCGAAAAGGTTTGACAGATTGACTTTTCTTGGTCAATGATGGCAAAATTTGGACAATGATTTTAATTATTATATTTATATATAATTTATAAATTTTATACTTTTATGAAAATATTTTGAATAAGGAACAATTTGATATAATTTTCATATTCAAAATAATTTCATATTAAAAAATATCATTGGTCAAAGTTGATTGTCATTGACCAAGAAAAATCAATTTGGCAAACCTTTTCGGGACGGAGGGAGTATGTCCAAACCCGTCCATGAACCCAATCTTAGTTTTTTCTGGCCATTTATGTATTGTGCAAATTATGTATTCGAGTAACACTCAATTAATTTCAATGAAAAACAAATACAGTTTTAAATAAGGTATTTTTCTTTGAAAAAACATAATGATTAACTGATGATGCAAAATCAGGTGAGATATCCAGATCGCATAACATTAATCAGAGGTAACCATGAGAGCCGCCAGATTACACAGGTTGGTCCTCAATCATTCCATAGTGTAACTTATGGTGGTAACTAAATGGGTTCTGAACTGTTCAGGTATATGGATTCTATGATGAATGCCTGCGGAAATATGGCTCTGTGAACGTGTGGAGATATTGCACAGATGTATTTGACTATTTAAGGTTTGATGCGTTCAATATATGGTGCTAATTTTATTTGGATATTATTCAACTTCTTATGAGATTTAGAATAAAACTACGTTGCATGGGTCTATAGATTTATCAAGTAAATGCTTATTTGTTTAGAAATTGCTCTAAATAGGAGCAAAAACGTTTTGAAATTCCAAAATAGGAGTATCATGTTTTTTATTCCCTGAATAGGAGTAATCTGCCAAGTTTGGAAAAAAATGCCATGTTTAAAGCCTAGTAATGCCAAACTTGGCAGAAATTTACTCCTATTCAAGGAATAAAAAACACAATAGTCCTATTTTGGAATTTCAAAACTTTTTTACTCCTATTTAGGGAATTCTCTCTTATTTGTTCATGATGACTGGATCTCTTAGTTGCTTTCTGTTTAGTAATTTTATCTTATCAAGTTCATCACATGCATATGATGCAAAATCCTCAGATACTTGGATGTGTTGAGCTTTTCTCATTCGTTAATATAGCATGCATGCTGTAGTGTACTCCTTTCCCTGAGTTTTAATTGCATGGGTGTGGTTCCATTTACTCGTCGAGTAGCCTGATAGAAAAAATGTAAAATACTTGCCAAGATTATCTCTTTTAGGTTGGATGCATTAGTGCCGCTGTAGGGAGTGGACCTTTAAATTGTAATGCTTGCATACCTTATTTTAAGCTTACCCATTGCAGCTTGTCAGCTCTAATTGAGAACAAAGTATTTTGTGTTCATGGTGGTCTGTCTCCTAATATAAATACAATAGACCAGGTGTGTAGTCTGAACATTAATCCATTTCATACACATTTGAGCTGCAAATGCATTGAACCTTTCAAAATATCATAGATTCGAACAATTGATCGAAAACAAGAAGTGCCACATGATGGTCCCATGTGTGACCTGCTATGGTCTGATCCAGAAGACATCGTTGATGGTTGGGGTTTGAGTCCTCGAGGTGCAGGTTTCCTGTTTGGGGGCGGTGTTGTCTCAACATTCAACCACACAAACAACATAGACTACATATGCCGTGCTCATCAGTTGGTAATGGAAGGATATAAGTGGATGTTTAGTCATCAGATAGTTACTGTTTGGTCTGCTCCGAACTACTGCTATAGGTAAGAATTAATTCCACTATTAGCCCCACCGCTATAAAGAGTTAAAGACATTCCTATTTATGTTCCTTAACTTTTAATTTTCCACTTTTAGTCCCACATTTCTGGCAAAAACCAACAAGAAATTGTATGGAAATGGACAAGATATATGGTCAGGAATGGACCACAGGTGACACAAAATCTATAGTTGTGGATCAAAAGCGGAATGACCTAATACTCTGATAGCAGTGGGATCATAAGTCGAACTTTTCTATATGTAACTACAGTAACCTTTCTTAATCAATCCCGTAATTAGTAAAAATACTCTGTTTTTCGGTTCCGTGCCACAGATGTGGGAATGTTGCAGCAATCCTTGAGCTTGATGAGAATCTAAACAAGCAGTTTCGTGTGTTTGAAGCAGCTCCCCAGGTCTCCTCTTATATGATCCATATCCTACTCTGGACTTCTGTTTGTTGCGCATCCTTGATATTTAATGATTTGAAGCCAAGTAGTTTTATTCTTTTCCCATTCTTCACATGAATGCAGCAAGAAACAAGAGGGCCTCCTGCGAAGAAACCCCCACCTGACTACTTTCTGTAGATCCTGGACTTCTCTGTTATATACCATCAAAATCATGATTGACCTGTTTGACTTGGTGGGCTTTGTATGACCACGAGATGATTAGGTGAATTACTTGTGATACCTGTTTCGACTGTAGAGAGGGGGCATCTACAACCAGCTGCCCTGTGATGAGCATCTTGCATAGAATCTTTTTTCCTTTTTAACCTGATTCCTTAACGAAGTTGCAGTTACAGTTATGTAAGGTACTATTTGTGTGGTTTTACATACAAAGTACAGCATTGTTCCCCATCAAATACAGAAGATAAATTTTGGTCAATCTGATTGTAAGAACAAGACCCTATGAGTGTATAACGGGACACATTAATGTCCTCGCATTAGGGAATGTTGAAATAAAATCACGTAGTTGTGGTTCTTATTAAAGTGTCTCACAAGTACTCCGTGACTTTATTTTCACATTTGTTAGTATGAGAACATTAAAGTGAGCTTACGTGGTCTCTTTAGAACTATTGTTGTAAGAATAGCTATATTCAAGTTTGGTAGCATGCTTTCATTTGGTATGCTGTGCGCTGATAGTGCCTAGTGCCTACTAACTACTTAGTTCTTATAATCAGCTTTATGGAGTTCACACTTCAGTCTCTTATAAGCATTTTTTTTCTATACCTTTTATCTCACCTGTGCGGCTCTGCAGTCTGCCCATTAAAGATTTTGTTCTTACAAATGCAAATTTCTTCTAGTACTGATAAGCTATTGTCACAATAAGTTTGTAAGAACTTAAAATGTGTGCTCGAACCCTTGAAACTTGAAAGAACTAAAATCTTACCATACAAGGCTAATGTTGCATCTTAATTCTCAGGAACGAGACATTATATAGATTTGGACGTGAACGTGCAATTCTATGTGTGTGTGTGTGTGTGTGTGTGTGTGTGTATGTATATGTATATATATATATATATATATATAGGGGATGATTCAAATAAAAAGATGTCTTAACGTGCAAAGTGAAAAGTTTACACTTTTTCATGTTTCGTTTGCACTTGTTCTTGCTTTCGTTGCACTTTTTCGCGATAGTTCATAAAAATCGGTTTATTTACAAAATTGCCACCGTCATCGGTCTATTTCGTTGCACTTGTTCTTGGTTCATTTTTTTGTTTTTTCAATTTTTTCTTTTCCTAGGGTAGGGCTGGGTGTTGTGGGGAGGGGTGGGGTGGGGGGGGTCGGGGGTTAATTAGAAAGAAAAAAAAAATTATACATTGGACCGGCCCGTCCCGGCCCGGTTTGGACCGGACCCGGTTTCAACCCGGGCCGGTTCCGGGCCCAACATCTGAAAAAAAAGCCCGGCTTGAGCCGGCCCGGGCCCGGTCCATGCCTATACTGACATAGGACTAATGTTTCCAGTTTTTTCTGCCAAAACAAACTACCTCCGACTCCACTGATTAGTTTTGGCACTTCTCTACAGAATGAGTCCTTTCAGTCAAACATTTAGAGCAAGGAAGCTACAATAAGATGATTCAAGGATAAATTACACAAAACCATCCGGAAATGGAACAAAGGACCCTCCATGGAAGATCAAGAAGATAAGTTATGAGAATAAGTAATTAGAAGACATATCCAAAAAAAGAGGAACAACCTAGATACTTGTTCGATGATAAGCATACTGCATATGCATAAACATAATGTATGGAGGAACAAATAAGTGTTGCACCCAATTTTCTTTATGGGTCTCAAAGAGCACATGATCTTAAAGAGTAGGGTTGCTATGAGCCACCAACTGGTCCTTCAATTTAATATCCATTAGCAATGATATTAATGTAGACTGTAGCCCTGTATCCATTAGCACATATTAATGATGCAATAAAAATCAATCTATGAAGCATTGTAAACCATATCAAGAGCAAAAGGGAGCTTACCAGTTGATTAACCTTCAGGAATAAGTTAAAATCATTGTACAAGGTTACAAGTTAACAGAAGAATTCACACTAGTCACTATTGATAGCTAATGAACAATTCCAATGTTCAATGTGTTCAAACTATAATAATACTCCCTCCGTCCCTATATAAAAGTATCCATTCGTTTTCCACACATTTTAAGAAAGTGGGTTTGGTTGGTACTGTTTGGACACTGTTTGGCACTGTTTTGCACTGTTTGGCACTGTTTTGTTTGCCAAAAAAGGAAAGAGAACTTTTATTTAGGGACGGCCCGAAAAGGAAACAGATGCTTTTATTTAGGGACGGAGGGAGTATATAAAGGTTAACTAGAATATAGGAAATAAAATAGCTAGATTCATAGAGAAAATCATTTACCTCTTCAGACTGGAAGGCTCTTTTACGAGCTCTAATACCCCCCCCCCCCCCCCCCCCCCCCCCATTAAAGACCTTAACTCTTCAGGGGAAATGAGGTAGGGTTGATAACCATCTGCTTCTAATACAACTGGAAACAAATAAACCAGTCACATAATCCACCAGAGAGAAAGAACATCCAATTCCAAACAATTGCTGGCCAGGATGCTGCTGTTTCTTGTCTTAAGTTATTTACCCATTGAAATGAATGATTGCTTGAGCTCCAATTTACATTAAGAAAATGAGTACTTAAAACACCTCACAGTTTGAAAGTGCTTTCGGCAAAACAGAAGAAGTATGAAATTTTGAAGTATTTCAAGATGAATAGCACAGGTCAGAGATATAGCATATATAATCATATTAACCTATAATATCCAGACTAAAACCCTGTAGTGATATTGGATTGTGTTCCAACAATCCTGTCAATGTGCACCTGGAGTTTTGATGCCAATTATCCTTGCCTTTGCAACGCACATTTAGAGTTACGAGTTGATGCATGCCACCGGTGTTGATTCCACCTAAAATGAACATGGCGTCGATGGAGGTGGACGTTTGTCTAAGCACAGCGTTTGTTAATGCAACTTTTTTTTACAAGAACATGTAATAATAATACTTAGAAAATACAAGATCAAAGAGACATACCCCAAAACGAAAAGAAAAACACCAAGCAACCAAAAAAGGGCTAAGAACCCAAACAACAATATCCAACAACAAGAGCAACCCTACTTAAAAATAACAAGGGTCAAAAACAAAAATGAGAGAAGTAGATGCCGAGTCTCTCTGCCTTTTCCCCCCTACATTCCTACGGATCTTATCCTTGGGAAATTGTAAGTTGCTTATCAACCTTCCCCATTGTCTCAGCCAGAAGCAGAGATACAGCTGGCTCACTTTTTGAAACACCCATACATCATCTAACACTTCATCTCAAACCAGCCTAATACAGAGGGTTAGCCTGATTCAGCAAAAAAAAAAAGAGCCAAATATTTTAATAAAGCTCGGGGAAGCTTCAATCTCATCTGGTGAATCACATCCTACACGGAATTGCTATGAATCAGCTCCAAACTCCTTGAATCGACCAAAAGATACATTGAGAATTGCAAACAAGAAGGTTGTAGCCTGTAAACTCCCCACTATGATTTACAGTTTTCCGTTTTCTATTATAATTGAAAACAAAAATCTGTAAAAGAGAAACAACTTTTTTCTATTGCTCTGTTGACAACTTCAAAATTAGCATGACTAATACAAGTAATAACTTTTTTTGTTCAGAAAAGAACATATATAGTATACTCCCTATATCATTTTCGAATAGAGTACACCTTTTATTAAAAGCCAAAACGGGCATTAAATCACACAATAAAAAACTGAAAAACTAATGGCTACATTAAACGCCAAAACGGGCATTATTTTTAATTGATCTTTTAAACCCATTGGAGGATTGTACAGTGGTACTTAATAGCAGCAGACTTCACAAAAGCATGACAACAGAGATAGGCTGCTTTCTTCTTATAGCCTCCCTATATTTATGAAGTGAGTGAGTCACTTCACAGTTATTATTATCTACTACAGCAACTGAACTACAGGTGATCTCATACAGTGATACAGATGTAACGGCAATATACACCCACACACCTACTCTCTAGCTCTTGTTTATTGACTGATGATTACAGCAGTGTTGTTGGGAGTAGACTCGCAGGTAGAAATATGAGAGATTGTGTCTTCCTTTGATATGGCGACATAGTTCACAGGAGCAACTGACTGTGCAATTTCTCTCTTCACACCACCCTCCTTAGTTGTTGACCGTGGACTATTCTGATGAGAGTTTAAAGATAGCCTCCTGCTACTCGTACCTACATAGGCATTCTCATTTGCTCGTGGGCCCACAACCTTCTTTGTACCCAGTTGCCGAGCTGGACTTGGTGTGGCTGCCGTTTCTTGTTCTTTGCTTGTCTGATCATGGACCTTCTTTTGATCCTACGTATACCAAAAACAGATAAAACAAGTGTTTAGATGATCTGTTTGTTACTCTCTTTCTCCCAAAATTATCTCCTTGTTTTGATTTGACACACTTGTTATGAGGTGTGCTTTCAAAATAAAAAAAGGTGCTGAAATTTGGGTTGGAGTGAGTGAAATGGAATTATGCATTTTTTCTTAAAAGAAAAACCTAAAAGAAAACATGAAGATAAATATTAGGACAGACTAGAAAGGAAAACAGCAAGATAATTTCACTACCAGAGTACAGGAAATATGAGATACATTAACTAGTAATTTGACCATATTACCCTCAACTTTCTTTTCTCTTCTTCTTTCTCATGCCTCAGCATCATATACTCATCTAGCATGGTAAGCAAGGGAACACCATCATAAGTGAATGATGTGCCATGTTGTTCTTCCCATGCCCTTGTTTTACTAACCAGGGCATCAACAAGAGCTACATAATTCAAACAAAATTCATTGAGGCATTAGTTTAGATGCTGGGAAAAAATAATCAAACTGTGAACTGTTTGTACTTTGTACTCTTCATGAATGAAGTGAACTGAGATGGAAAATACTTTATTGATAAAAAACGATTTAAGTTACTGTTTAAAACGATTGCTTGAGCTCCAAGTTTACACTAAGAAAATGAACATTTATAACAGGTCATAGTTTGAAAGCGCTTTTGGCAACAAAAAAAAACTCAAGTATGAATGTTTGAAGTACTCAAGATCAATCGATGTACAGATCAAAGGTATAGCATAAATATGTAACCATATTCAGCCCGTAATATGCATATTGAAACCCTATAGTGATATTTGGTTGTGGACTTGTGGTTCAGCATTCCTGTAAATTAGCACCTGGAATTTTGTTGACAAATATCCTTGCCTTTTCAGCCCGCTTTAGGTTCAAGTGGGCACCTCTGGTCGCACTGTACCTATTCTCATCCTGTTTTGGTAATCCAGATAAAGTCATAAAGGTACCACATGAGAAGTGTTTATCTCAGAGAGAACATGTCTTAAGAAGTATAGCTATCCGGCACTAAGTGCACTACTACAAAAAAACTCTATCCAGTTTTGCATACAAAGCTGTGTCTTTAGATATTGTTAATAATTATAAATAAGTGAATGACACCTCAAAAATAAGCTCATGAAAAGAAACAGGATATTCAAACTTTACTGTTCCAACGTCACCACTCATTTCCTTTTAGAATTTGTATACATGGTTCACATTGTTTCTCTCCTCTTATAAATGAATATCAGCAGACAGTTTCAATTTCTTAATATCTGTGTCCAGTCAAAGTGGGTACTTATTTACGGACGGAGGAGGGCATATAATATTTGGTTAGAAGATATTCAGCTGGTTTTAGAATTCCTTCATAAAAAAAGATTACGGAAAAGGCAATGGATCCAATGAAACAACTTTTTTAAGCAAGAGAGTGTAAAACTTACCCGATTATAGTCCTCAAGCCAGCTCTCTTCTTCGCAAGCAGACATCCATTTCTCAACCTTATCCAATATTTCTTTTCTGCTCAGGGCCTCTTCTTTTGCTCTTGTAATCTGGTTATCCATGTCAGCCAATAGCTCCACAGGTTCAACACTACCAGAGTCGACCATCATCATGATTTTTTCTCGAGCAGCATCAGTATTAATCTCAATGTGAGCACGTGCAAAAATTTCTTCGAGCACAGCCTGCTTTTTAAAGGCTATCTCCTTCATCCTGCTAGCTTTTAGCTGATCAAGTCTTTCAACTTCAACTTCAGCCTTGATCAGAAAGCAAGAAAGTCGTACTAGTAGTTAATGATAAGCCCAGTCAATTTATGTATATTTACAGTCTCCATAGAGTTCTTGTTTATCACCTGCTCAATTAGATCTAGAGCAAGAGCACCAGGAACGCTCACTTCGTTCACTGAAGCTGATACTTTGCAAGTAACATGATCAAACAATCTCCTCTCCTCTTCAGGGGTATCCATCAAATTCCAAAGATCAGTTAGCTGAGCTGCTAAGGCTTTAAGCTGTTGGATAGATCACGAATATCAAAAGTCAGAACAGGTATTTTTTCATAAAGCAGAACTCAGAAGGCATTAGAATAAAGCTTTACGATGAAGAGTGCAGACAAAATATGCTACCACATTAGTTTCAAGTCAAATTGCACCAAATATTCTGTCCAGATGCTATCACAAATATCAAAAGTCAAAACAGGTATTTTTTCATAAAGCAGAACTCAGAAGGCATTAGAATAAAGCTTTACGAAGAAGAGTGCGGACAAAATATGCTACCACATTAGTTTCAAGTCAAATTGCACCAAAGGTTCCGTCCAGATGTTATCTCAAAGAAATATTGTCAACCATTGTTAAAGGAAACTATGAGCAAAATATTTTTGCATTCTGTTTCTTTGGTTTGGGTGCTCTTCGTTGATCTGTAGTGTCTACCAGGAATGCCTCACTTGACAGTTTGAAATAAAGGCATGTTCATTTATTAAAACATAAATTCTGTATGAGGAAGCGGTCCAGCTCAGCTGATCACCAACTCACTCTCCCATATGGGAGGTCTCGACCTCTCGGGTTCGAAACTCCATGGAAGGAGTTTTAGCCCTGTTTACTCCGGGCTCCCCTAGCCCCCCTCCCCCTGACCCCCCGGGGTAAAAAAAACATGAATTCTGTATCTTGCTAAATGACCATCTCTTCCATTCCTAAATTCAATGATCAATCCTATCATCTAATTTTTAGGTGATAAAATAGTAACCTTTTGTAACCTCTGCTCCTTATCATCCTTGAGAGCCAAGACTGTTTTTGCGAGATTCATCAGTGTATCATCAGTTATGCTTTTTGATTGAAAATCAGTCGAGTCATTCAGACTCGGGTGAACTTCAGTAACAGTTGAGGAAAAATCTATCCCAAGAACAGCACAAAGATCATGCACAGTGCTTACAAATTCAAGAACCTTGTGCAACCTCTTGCTCTATACAGCACAGAGAAGATAAACTTGTTAGAAGTGTGAAATTAATATCAACTAGCAAGAGAGATTTGTGTCCTTGCAACATTTACTGGTTTCACCTTTTCATTTTGAAGTTCTTGGAGCTGAGCATGCAACTCATCTAATCTTCTCAGGGATATATCAGACTTATCCACTGTTGGACTTGCCATCTGGCCACTGGCCCCAGAAATCTCATTGGATAACTTCTGTATTTGTGATTGCACATCAAAGAACTCATTTTCCCTCTCCTCTTTCAGCACCCATAACTTTTCTAGTGCAGGATTTATAGACAAAAGTTGTTCCTTGATTGTTCCTGATGTCTTCTCTGGCTGCAAATTGGGAGTAAATTAGATGGAATGCAATAAAAACTCCGTAATAATCACTGAGCATCACATCCCTAAGTATCCCACTCACAATTCCAACAGATGAATTCTCCCCAAGTGCTGATTCAAGCTTTGTAAGTTCCGCGGTGGCATCTGCTAGTGCCTGAAGGAGTTGAGCCCTTGTATTCATAGCCTGGTCAACCTTTCTCTTGTAAACAGCCAAACATTCTTGCTGCAACTGGAGAAGCTTCCTGTCCCGCTCTTCATCACTTTCGCCAACCTCATCCCATATTTCCTACAATACAACACATTCATGTTTTGAAGTTATTGTGAAAGTGTGAAGTAACAATGCCCGATATTTACCACCACCTGAATAGAACATTGGAAGTACTAAACTACACTACCTGCAGTTGCTGCAACAATGACCCACATGTTGCTTCTCCAAGACAGCGATTTTGAACATCCATCGCGGCCATTTTCTGTCACTTCGGATCAAGCCTGAGAGATGATCCAAATAGTTATTCATATACTACGTACATATCTGTATGAGGTGAAAGCTATAAATCACCTAACCAAGAAATTGAACAAATTTCTAATCAACACTTTTTCATTCTCTAGCATATTAAGCTCAAATGCTCAATATAGTGCTAAATAAACAGGAAAAGATGGAACTTGAATCATTCAAGTTGAACAGTCACACAAACTACTCACACCCTAACTCGTAACAAAAGAAAAACCAGTCCATATTGAATGCTAAGTTCATCTCATCACCTCATCTCTAACTCAATCATAAAGCAGATAACTAAAGGCGTAAAGCCCGAGACAAACAACAAAAGCATAAAGAAAGCTTCATCTCTCAAACTACACTTGCCAGTCTAGTGACATGCAAATGGAGAAAAATCAAACCGCAACAAAAGGTCCAGTAAGTTAAAATCACTTCACTCAACTTCAGTATGGTTAGATCCTAACAAGCAAGTGGATTCACGCATCAGCAAAGCAAACAAAAAAATAGTCGTACTAAAATGATATAAAAAGCATAAAACGAAGAGAATGCTTAACTGAAGCCGAAGTTCGAGAGAGGTAAGTTGGGCCTTAGATCTACGGAGTGGCTTAAGAATCAGGGTGTGGGTGGTTGTATCGATCAGAGTGAAGAGTGAATGAAGAGAGCAATGGAGGCAGTAGTCACTCCTGTGCTAGTAGAGAACAGAGTTATGAAGCAACGGACACGAAATAGTAAGGAGAACTGTTACAAACCCTCTAACTTTAGTAAAAAGTTCAATAAATCCTTTTATAGGAGACTCTGTCCGGTCGTTGACATTTGGGGTGTTTCCGGATTGAATGTTTTGATGAATTTTTTTGAGCATCTTCTTCATTAAGTTTAGTTTATCCATATCATATTTCAGCTAAAAATTCAATCGAGAAGGTCGTCAAATGATTTTCTGAAATATATTGCGCTGTCTAACTGCGCAGTTATCTTCACAAATTCATTTGACTGCCTTCCCGAAAGAATGTTTAACTAATATTTGGTATGAATAAACTAGACTTAATGAAGAAGATACTCCAAAAGTTTCATCAAAACATTCCATCGGGAAACGCCTCAAATGGCAACGGCCGGACAAAGCCTCCTATAAAAGGATTTATTTACACTTTTTATGAAAGTTCGAGAGCTTATTCGATAGTTTTCTCAAATAGTTATGGTCAAAGAAAATACAAAAACATACGGAGTATTGTACGTAATATTGTCCGTTAGGTACGAGGCAAATCTTGGATTAGTAAAAACAATACACAATATTTACCAGAAATGTCGGGTGAACACATTTTTTGTCCATGCTTACCACATTTTGTTTATATGAAAACAGTTACTAGTACTATCTTCCGTCTCAAATTGATTTATAAATTTGAAAAGAATTACTATTACTATCTTCGTCTCAAATTGATTTGGAAATTTAATTTTTCTTGATCAAACAGTTTTATTTTATTCGTTTAATTAGGATGTCAAATTTAATTATATTCTAATTTGAAGTTTGCAAATTTGAAAAAATTGTAATGTAGTTTCTGAATATGTAAATTTTAATTATTAAAAATTGAATGAACCATTAATGAGAAGGTTTGACTTTTATTATTGATTAACAAAAAAATGTTAACTTTACAAAACAATTTGGGATAGTATAAAAACTTGTCCCTCTATTTAGAACACGTGTATAAATATTTACGCGCACAAAAAATTGGGTGTTTGGCAATTTACTCATTGGGTGTTTGCTTGTAATTATTTATGTAACTATACACTTTTTTTAGTGGAAAGGTCCGAACAAATTTATTAATCACAAGAGATGATTAATCTTTAAGATTCAAAGACCCAATAAAGTCTTTTGGATTTCGTAGGTGTTACTTCGTTACATGAGTTACTTGGGTGAGTGCTTAAGGCAAGAAAAGAGTAAGAATAAACAAGTAATTTAGAGGCAAAGTGGATCCAATTCTATTGAAGTCTTAGAACGATTAGGACATTTCTGCCAAGCGGCATTGTGACCCTCTAGATCCAGCTGAATGTTATAGAGTAAACTAGAGAGAAGTCTAATGCTTAAAAATACAAATTGTCAATCATTTACGATGAAACAAATTCTGCTATTTATAGTACTTCCTCCGTTCCCAAAAAAATACTTCTCACTTTCCTTTTTGGGTTGTTTCCAAAAATACTTCCCATTTTCCCATTTTGGATAATTTGTGTGGCTCACATTCATTTTACCTTTTTCTTACACAACCACAACCATACATTTCCACTTTATTCCACTTTCTTAATAAGCGTGTCAAGTCAAACCGGGAAGAATTTTTAGGAACGAAGGGAATACAAGTTAGTAGGTTGAAGAGGTGGTGTGTTCAAGTCTGAGTGGATGAACCTCAACCATAAAATCTTCCATATCTGTTGCATTAAATGTGTTTCCCGCCAATTCCTGATTTCCTGCCAATTGTTTGGGAGAGTTTTAGACTTGAGTGGCTCCTGGATTGAATAGAGAAGCCCGAGTGACGAGAACGGGCAGCTCGGCAATCCCCGTGCACGATTGTCGAATGCCTATCTTGAATTGGCTATACCGCGAATGGGCCTGTATGCAGATTAGGCTTTGTGGAATATTTTGACCCGTTCTGAGCCGGGACTTAATATCCAAACAATAATATTATTCTATTTATGGCCATAAAAAGCTCATAGTATTAAGTATTAACGGTCTCAAGAGAATCGTTTGATCTATAAACAATGAAAACTGAAAATGAGTGTACTTTTTTTTATTTGCATAACTATCTAAAGTTTTTCTAAAGAACTTTCTAAAGTTATAGATGCTTTGAGAAATGATCTAAACATAATAAAAGCATTATAATTCTTAACTACGGAGTATTGTTTTAATTATTGACATTATTGTTACTACGGAGTATTACTTAACCGTTTGTATTTATTAGAGTAACAAATACAGGACGGTGGAGGATTGATTTAAGTTAATTTTATTGGCGTTGGAAACATAGTGAAAGAAAATGTATTATAGGACGGGTTAACCGGTTCGATTCCGGATCGGTAAATATCCCAAAATTAGTCAATCCACAATGTCTTGCGTCCAGTTTTTTGTGCGTTGCTACATTTTTGGAGTGAAAACCTCAAACATGTTTTTTCTGAGATCCCATAGCCTAACATAGCTTTGATGTGTAATTTTAAATAAATAAGTTACTTCGTACATTTATGAGAGACTTTGTACTTAAAAAAAGTTAAAAACATAATCCTTACACCTAATTTATATCTTCAATTCTCATTCATCTTAAATTTATCTCATTTTTCTTTTAAGTAAAATATTATGTGGTTCATAATACATCAATCAATTCTCTTCTAAACAAATATCAATAATGTAATATCTATTTCTTAAGATTTATTCCAAATCTATTGGGAAGATAAAGGATGTGGGGTGTTGTAAATTTTAATCTTATTTTGTTAATTTTAATTTACTTTGTTATTATATTTACTTCGTGTTGAAAATATTGTTCATACTGAGAGGATCACATGATATAACAAAGTGAATTTTCAAAAATATATAATTAAATCCAAGCTATGCCCAATTACGCTATGAATGTCTTTCTAGTGCCAAAGGGCCTGTGTGATGAGATTGAAAAATTGATGAATGGGTTATGATGGAGGGGCTCAAAATTTGATCAAAAAAGTCTGGAGACGGTGGGAGGCTATGTGTAAGCCAAAAAATGCAGGAGGTTTGGGGTTCAGGAGAATAAGGGGATTTAATTTGGCTATGTTAGAAAAAGAGTGGGCAATGGTATTGATGTCCAGGTCTGGGGGGATGCTTGGCTATCGGGGTCGGGGCCGGGAAAATCACATTAACACGACCAGCTGGAGTTAGAGACATGAATGTAGTTGACCTTCGTGATTTTACAGGGAAGCATTGGAATCAAGAGAGAATTAGGACCATTTTTAATCCGGAAGATATGACTCTAATTATGAGTATTTGTATTAGTATGCTGGATAGGAAAGATGAATTTTGGTGGACGGGCAAAAAAGTGGTGTTTTCTCAGTCAAAAGTTGCTACAAATTAATTGTGGGAGATATGCAAATGGGGAACTCGAGTGGGTGGGCACGGTTATGGGAACTTCTGGTCCCCACAAAATTCAAATATTTATCTTGGGAGGTTTTGGACGGTACTCTACCAACTGTGGACAATCTTAGGAGGAAGGGTGTGACTATACAAGCTATGCAGGGATTTGGAGGAGTGCTTAGACCATGCGGTCCGGTCTTGTGCTCACATTGGGGGGGTCTGGCAGCTGGCCGGAATTCAGATCGAGTAGTTTCCGATGGAGCATCATTGGTTGCGGCAGAGACGGGAAAATCCGGATAAAGAGGTGCAGAGCAAGTTTATCTCCATTCTATGGAGTATCTGGATGCAGTTAAATAATGTGGTGTGGAAGGAGAAAGACAGGAGGCGGTGGGAGTCCTCAACTCCGCGACGAGAATGCTGGTGAACTGGAGGGAAGCGCAGGACAGCAGACCTGGAACAAGGCGACGGGCAACAACGGCTTGACCTCATAGCAGCGGTCAATCAGGAGGGGAAGATTAGAGCATGGGGCTGGATTGCACGAGATGACAAAGAGGAGTTTATTAAAGCCCAAGGAGTCTAAAAAAAGGTAGAGTGGTCCTGGCAGATCTGCTGAGGAGACAGAGGCTCTAGGTGTTCGGGATGCTATTTTGTGTGCAATTGAGGAAGGTTGGCAGAAGGTGGAGATCGAGACGGATGCTCTTACGGAGGTGCAGGGTCTTAAGAAAGGGAAGGATCGTCATATATACATCTGGTCCTTGATGAATGATGATATACGAAAGATTTTGGAAACAGAGAGTAATTTTGATATCTCTTTTTGTAGACGGTCTGCGAATCGTGTGGCTCATGTCTTAGCCCGAGCGCGTGTTTTTATCTCAGATCAAAGAGTTAGTTATGATGTTATTCCAGATTGTATTATCAGCCGAGTGACAATCAATTTATTGATTTAATACGGAGTATAAGTTTTGTTTTACGATAAAAAATATAATTAAATTGAAAAAGCAGAATAAAAACAATTGTTACTTTTCATATAAGAAAATTAGCAAGCAACATATCCTAAATCGATTTCGTGCTTTATTATTATGAATCTCAATCATAATGTTTTTCATCAAAAGATGACTACTTTTGACAATATAATTACAAGGTCGTGAGTTGTCTAACTTTTATCTAATGATATGAGACGATGATACAGAGTATATCTTTAAAACTCAAAAGTAACGTCTGTTTCAGAAAGGTGTGCGCACAAATGGTAATGTACCGAACTTGAGATAACATGACATTTATTTTTTCCAAAAAAAAAATGGAGGAAGATGCAGCCACAAAGAATGCTTCAACCAGCAATGAGTCATGGGGGTGGAGAAATACACACAAAGCCATTCAGAGTAAATTACATTCCATATCTAGACAACTAAACTGAAATCACCATCTGCTAGATTTAAAACTAAGCTACAATGTTCCACCTAAGATCTCACTAAACGAAGCTACCTAGTTTCTAAACTAATATCATCTAGATCCGGTGGAGTGAACATCACGTCGAGTTATTCAACTCTCCTTCCAGATGAAATCTGAACATCTATTTGGATCATTCAAATTTCACCTGGACGGTTGGAAGAGCAACTCCACGTGCAGTTAATTTCACCGGTCCATAAGAAGAAGCAGAGAGAATCATATGACATTTGCATCTTTGAGAGCACATAGCATGGAATAGGCAGCTGAGTTCTCTGCATCTCTGATCCGCAACATTTTGTTTCCAGTAGCGAAGAGCACCCGAGACTTCTTATTACCAACTGTAATAGCTAAACCATCACTGCTACCTACTTCAACTGAGCAGACAAAGTTCTTGTCGTGTGATGGGCCTATCTCATTCTCAACCCTGAAAACAATAGGACAAATATTAGCCAGGAAACAGAAACAGTTTGTTATGAATGTAGGTGACTGTTACCAACACCAGAAGTCAACTCCTGTTTATCTAGGAAACTAGAGAACATAAAAATAAATTTTGCTTTTTTGTGTTCCAAATTTAGAAAACATAAAAAAACATATTTACTTCACGAAATGTTTTAGAATATATGAAAGTTATATTAAACAAACACTTTTCCTTCACCACAACTGTTAACTACAGAACATGTGTGATATCAGAACTATGTGTTGGCAATGAAAAAAACAACTAGAGAATAGAAAAAGATGACAGAAGTGGGCCCATAACTTTCCTTAACTTGAAGACTTCATCTAACAAGTGCATACTTTGGTGCCGAGTGCCAAGGCAGTCAAGGTAATGAAGTTCATTTAAGAAATCTAGGAATGATGCAAAGAGCTTATGGAGCCAACTTCTTCTCAAGGCAGTTTTTAAAAATTTACACGAAAAGGGGTTAAACCAAGATATAAAACTGGTAATGCTAAATGTGAAAAGCCTTCCAACCATGAACCTATACTATGTTATCCATAAACACGGGAAAACAGAACTTTTAAAGTCATACGTAGTATGAATTAAAAACAACTCAGGAAAATATATTTGCACCTGTAAGTAGGTTTCGACCATTTTTTTTTCCCACAAAGTTCATACAATTTTTGTTTTGCTCCATCATTGCCTTTAGTCTCATCGAACTTAAAGTTGATTTTTTCAACTTTATAAGCCAGCTCCTGTAGTGCAGCCTTTGCAGCATGAAGCCTCGCATTTTCCTTCTGCTCTGAAGATGAAGAGACTAGGTGTTCTCCATCAATGTAGATGCTTGCAATGTTGTTCAGTCCAATCTTATTGTGTCTTATGTCAACAGATTTTCCAACTTTCTGGCAATGTTCAAATAGCATGGTCACTGGCTGAGGTTGCTTTTGCAGCACATCAGGGGTGATTATTGGCTCCAGTAAGCCTCTAAAGACCTAGCACATAAACAAAATGGAAACCATATGCGATGGATAAATTAATATAGACGGGGCTTTCGTTTTTGCAGTTATTTCTGGATCAAGAGGGAAGACAAGTCAAATCAACCAAACTCATCCTCAGTATTTCCAAAAAGAGATACTTGTCAAGTAGTTCCAAAACTGAATACAATAGGGTGCACAGTGAAACATTTATTTCTAATACTCCGTATGAGTTATAAGCAGAGAGGGACTTATAGCTTCTGTTGCAAAAATCATATAGAAATTAGTTCAAATAGAACTAAAACTATGGCAAAAACCTAAAATAGGACTTGCTATGTTTTTATTCCAAAATAGGACCATATGAGTCCTATTGGAAACATACCTATTTTTGCATTCCATTCTTACCCTTCCATTAAATATGAATTAAAAATAGTCAAAAGCCATAATTAAATGTTTAATTCATAATAAATTCGAAAAAAATTCAAAAATTCGTAGAAATATAATTAAAAAAATTATAAAATTTTTATAAAATAAAAAATTCAAAAACTTTTTTTTTAAATAATTTTATTTTTAAAAAAATAATAAAAATAGTAAAACTCCGTAAAAAAAATTAAAAAAATATGGATGCCTTTCCCACCGCTTGTACTACCTCCCAGCACCACCACCTCCGGCCGATGAAAAAAATGCCATTTTCCCAGAAAAATGCCATTTTTTTCTGAAAATGTCAAAAAAGTGGCATATTTCTCTTTTCGAATGCCAACATTTTCATTTTTTTCTGCCATAAATATGGCATTCGTAATGAACTTGGCATTTTTCCCCTCTGGTGACTGGAGGTGGTGGTGCTGAGGCGGCAGAGGCGGAGGCGTTTTTTTTAATTTTTTTTTTAATTTTTTTAATTTTTTGAAAAAAAAATTAATTAAATTTTTTAATATCGAAATGTTTTTCTTAATTTTTTAGTATTTTTTACGAATTTTTTATTATTTTTTATTATTTTATTAGGAATTAAAACATTTTAATAGCTATAAGGGTATAATTGTCCAAGGTACACATAATTAGTCCTATGCAAACATAGTTTATTTTTTGGTCCTATTTGTGAAAAGTGAATGACTTTTAGTCCTATTTTGATAATTAACTCAAAATCATATTCTAACGTAGCACTAGGTTATTCTTCATTTGCCCACTTTCTGTTACTTGGGATGGCATGAAACATCACAGGCATGGCATGAGACAGCACAAACATGTCACAGAAAGAATTTGTGCATTATTTGTCACACACACTTACCAAAATTGTATTAGTTGGAGGCTGAATGTATAAACTGAGTTGCCTAAGAAAGAAGAATTAGGCACTTAGGACATGTTTACTTCACCGCTAAAGTCACAGTTAGATTAGTAAGACAGGTGAACTAAACACGCAAGCTGCTTAAAAATCTGCTTACTAACCGAAAGAGGTGCTTACAGTGCCGTTTATTAAGAATATCACCCCCCACGTTTTAATTAAGCTTTTTTAGTTTCCGAATTTACCCTTACCCTACCCCTTATTGTTACCCCTACTACTACCCCTGCCCACCCCCTTCCCTACCGCACTACCCGTACGCGTATCCTTACCCTTAACCCCCACCCTACACCTACCCACCCCAAACCCCTTACCCCCATCCCCTACCTGTCCCCCCATACCCCCTTACCCCTGCCCCTTACCGCGACCCTTACCCCCTATCCCGCCCTAACCCTTACCCCTACCCCTACCCACCAAACCCCCTAACCCTAGCACGGCCATACCCCTACCACGGCCACAACCCCCTATACACCACTCCTAATGAAGCTAAAAAATGCAAGAGAATCACATAATTACATCAGCTAAATTGTTTTTACATCAAATCAAGATTATTAAGCATTTTACTGCAAAGACCATAACATTATCTCCACTTTGTGTTTTGAAGAAAACTCTTCAAAAAAATGAATATGAAGACATAGAACAAATTCAAAATAGCCCTATGTCAGCCAACGAGATCCATCCTTAATTGATCACAACAATGCTTATAGACTTCCACACAACCTTCCATATTTCCATGTATAGAGTGTGTAAGAAAGCACCCCTTAAGAAGATATTTTTAGCCATATTAGACTAGCAATGAAAATGTGGTCATTATGCACCAATTAGCAGACACTGTACTACGTAATAAATAAGTCACAGAAAATATACTACTAAAATGGAATGAAAAAATAGATACAAACCTTCCAAAACTCCTTCAAATCGAGTCCAACGTCAATGTATACAGCAGCAGCTACAGACTCAACTATATCTGCAAGAATTTTTGGTGCTTTGATTGCTCCGCCATAGAATTCGGTCTCGTCTTCTTCCTGGACTGCTAACACAAACTCCTTCACCTAATACAACTCAAATTCAGCCAAATTTCAATCAAACAAAATCAATTCTTTCAAACTAAGTCATCAATTCCCATCCTTTTAAGGCAGGTACATCGAATTCTACCCGCATTGGAGGAAATAAAAATTGAACTAATGACCACTGCAGAATTCAAATGTGTATGCTAAGCTATGATCACACAAACATGTATACCTTTTCTTCAAGAGAAGGGGCATTGTGGCGGACATATCTGTAGAGGCTGTGATGGACAGCTACCCTAGCGAGCTTTTCGGTGCTGACATTGGCTGACCGAACAAGAGAGAGTTGGCCGGGGTCAAGCTCAGGATAGGACAAGTAGACGAAGTTGGAGATGGCCAGCCCTAAAGCCATGTCACCTAGGAATTCCAGACGCTGGTAAGAGGACGACTCTGTGAAAGAAGAGTGGGTAAGAGCTTCTTCCAGAAGCTTCCTGTTCTTGAAACGGTACCGCAAAAGGTGCTCCAGTGTGTTAATAGAAGCCTCCATGTCGGAGATGGGCGGCAACAGAGCTGAGACACTCGTCACTGCAAATGGATTCATAATCCGTAGCCGTGTTCAGACAGTTATCAATAGGAAACTAGTAAAAGACTTCCTGAAGACAGAAAGAAATAAGCTATGGAACGTACAAGATGACACCTAACCAAGAAATTGAACAAATTTATTCCCAACACATTTTCATTCTCTAGCATATTAAGCTCAATATCTTGCTAAGTAAACAGGAAAAGATGGCACTTGAATAGTCGCAATTCACAAACTACTCACACCCTAAAGCTTAATTTTTTTTTTGAAGTAAAATAACTAAGATGTCTTCTTCCATAAAGCTTAATTATTTGGTGCAATTCCTACCAAATGAAAAGAATCCATATCGAATACCAAGTGTTGGATCAGGAAAATAGCTTGACAACTTGGGCTTATATTCCGCCGAGGCCCAATGACAGCAAGGGCCGAACCCATTGGCGTGGGTAAGCGAACAAAGCCTGGTCTATCTGAAGACCAATTGCACGACTAAATACTAAGTCAAACAAATAAGGATGAGATAAGCACACTCGGTTAGTAATGGAGAAAAAAGCGGAAAGCGGGCCCTAAGCTTGGGGAAGGAGTGATTTTATCTAATAAAGGAAAAAGGGGCAAATAAACCTACGTACTAACAAAAAAAGATCAAATAAGTCCTTATACAGGAGGCTATGTCCGGCCGTCGTCATTTGGGGCGATTCTCAATGGAAATTTTTGATGCAATTTTTCGAGCATATTACTCATTAAGTTTAGTTTACTCATACCAAATTTCAGCTAAAACTTCAATCGGGAAGGAATTCAAATGAATTCTTGAAGATAACTACGCAGTTAAAAGCGCAGTTATCTTCAAGAATTTATTTGTATGTCTTTCCGATTGAATTGTTATCTGAAATTTGGTATGAGTAAACTAGACTTAATGAAGAAGATTCTCAAAAAATTCCATCAGGAACTGCCCCAAATGGCGACGACCGGACAAAACCTCCTATATAAGGGCTTATTTGACCTTTTTTTATTAGTACGTGGGCTTATTCGCCCCTTTTTCCTCTAATAAATGGAGTGCCTAGTTAACCTTGTACGGATGATTCATAGCAATCAACTCTAATTAAACTAGCTCAACACCTTGTAATCAAGCTCTCAATACTATACGAGATATTCCAATATACTTAATTCATATTTCACACACTTTTATTTGTGATTAGTCCATTATCGATTCATAATTGTTCGATTTCCATTTCATTCTTAGAATAATTTATTTTTAGCACAAACACTAAGTTCATCTCAGCAGCTCACCTCCAACTCAATCATAAAGCAGTTAATAAAGGCGTGAAGCCCGAGACAAACAACAAAAGCATAAAAAGTTATGCTATTAGAGAACAGAGTTATGAAGCAACGGACAGGAAAATAGTTATGGAGCAAAGGTAATAAAAACTTCACTAAATGCAGGTGAGAAGGTGAAAAGTATAAAAGTAACTGTAATCGTGTATTTTTAAAGAAAATCTTATTAAAAAAAGTATAACAAACTTTTAAATATAATAGAAAGGAAAGTATAGTAAGCATTTAAATACATAGAGTAGAAAATACAAAAACATACTCGGTATTGTAATATTGAAGGTAAATGTTATAAATATATTCATGTAGTATTAGTGTGACCATAAATATATTCTTGTTATAGTTTTTGGAACAAATATATCTCTAATGTTTATGTACCGTAGAGTGTAGAGGTGTATATATACTGTGAACCTTCAAAAGATGCAAAAATATCACTCATATTTCTATAGAGGAGCAAATTGACTTTAAATAAATAAAATAAAAATTTTAAAAACACTAAAAATAAATTATAAATTCAAAATTGAAACATAAAATATTAAATAGTTCCAAATAAAGATTTGTTTTTATTTTAAAATATTAGCTCTTTAATTTTAAATTGCAAAACTAATAATCCTTCTGTTGTAAATGAAGCACTTCAAATTCATAAAAATTTATTTTATTTTGTTGAAATTTTTTGAACATATTGTTAAAGTTTTTGAAATAACATTCTTTGGTTTTATTTAACATTGATAAAATTAAATTCACGATTTTGTAGTTTGGGACTATTTATCATCATACAAAATATGTGATTTTATAGTGCAAAGAATACAAAAAAATGTTTTTTTACATTGCCACACATATGTTAACACGTTCCTGAAAGAATCTTAAATATATAGTAAAAGTTTGAAGTAATATTTTATATTAACAATATTATATTTTTGATGGGGTTATGGGACTAGGCCCAGAGCCTAATCGGCCCAGGCCCCGAACTTGGACCAGCGGGCCCAAGCCCAGCAACCCAGAGCTCGAGTCAGCCCAACCAACCAGGGCAATCAAGGAGCGGAAGCCCAAGAGAGCCTGTCGACCAGCCCAGTGGGGAGCCTGCCTTCCAGCCCAGTGGGGAGCCCGCCTTCCAGCCTAGCCAGGAGCCTGCCGATCACCAGCCCAGCTGGGAGCCTGCGGTCCAGCCCAACTGGGAGCCTGCGGTCCAGCCTACCCGGGAGCCTGCCTTCCAGCCCAGTGGGGAGCCTACCTTCCAGCCTAGTCAGGAGCCTGCCGACCACCAGCCCAGCTGGGAGCCTGCGGTCCAGCCCAACTGGAAGCCTGCGGTCCAGCCTACCCGGGAGCCTGCCTTCCAGCCTACCCGGGAGCCTGCCTCCAGCCCGGTCAGAAGCCTTCCTCCAACCTAGCGGGAAGCCCACCATCCAGTCCAGCAGGAGGGAGCTCAAGCGTCCAGCCTGCCTGCCAGGCTGACCTGCTAGCCAAGAAGAGTAACGGCCAACAATTAATGCGCGACTTAATTATGTGTTTAATTCTGTATTAATGTTGTAATTAATTTAGTCATTATTATGTTCGACATTTACCATTTGTAATCGCCTATAAAAGGCAATTCGAATTTCAAATACAGATATGCTATTTCTGGCTAACTTTCCATATTCGTACTTTCCTAATTCCTGCTTGAGTGTCGTACATAGCTTTCCTAAACGCCTACGAGCGTCCTATTTTGGACCAACATTGGTGCTTTCATTGAGAGCCTCTATTGTCTCTCACATAACTGGAGTAGGAATCACACAGGAAGATGGCCGGAATCTCGTCTCGACGTGACCATGTCTCAGTCCACACCGAGGAGTCCGCCCGGTCTGGCCGCCAGCGTGCCCTCGACAACCATGCACAGGGCAGGAGGGCGGCGCGCCAAGGCGACCTTCGGAACCAATTATCAGGCCACGGCGACCTAAGGGCGACGCTCAACCACACCCAAGGTGAGCGCTCGGTCCGCAGCCGGCGGGGGGGAGGCCGACGTCATGCTCCGCGCATGGACCCGGCTCGACTCAATGCCGGGGTGGAAGCCCTGCAGGAGGCAACTCGGGTTCTGGGGACCTTGGCTCAAAATTTCCAAGAGATGGTGTCTGGCGGAAATGTGGATGAGCCTGCCCGTCAACGGACGCCAGCGGATGTGGAGGTGTCCTCCAGGCGGCGTGATGAGCGACGCTCTGGATCCAACCAAAACAGGGGGGAAGAAGTCTCCCATCGGCGGGGGGAAGAAGTCTCTGAGCAGCCTAGCCGACCCCATTGGCAGACGGGGAGGGGCGCCCAGCAGGGGCGCCCAACGCAGATGGAAGGAGGCGAGTCCTCTCGCCACTCTCACCGGGCGAGCAGTCGGACCAGCTCCACGGAGAGGCAAAACGTGGGCCCCTGACCTCACGTGCACGGACGACTGGGAGGTGCCGCCGGACATGCCCAGCCCCGTGCTGGAGCTGTCCGGGGGAACCCACCGCCGGCCGAGGTGGAAGATCTACGAGAGCGCCTTGACGAGTTGAGAAGGAGGGTCGTCGGGGGGGAGCCTTACACGGCCGACCTCCGGATACCCGAACCCTTCACCCGGGCGGTCATGGATGCGCCGTTGCCGAGGGGCTACAAGCCCTGCGCCATTGAAGCATACAAGGGCGCTTCTGACCCCCAACATCATGTATCTCGGTACCTTTCCTACATGGTCATGATGGGGTATGAGGACGCCATCCGATGCCACGGTTTCTCCGCCACTTTGGATGGCCCGGCTCGTGAATGGTATGATTCTCTACCCGACAGGAGTATCACGAATTTCCGTGAGTTGGCTCAGCGCTTTCTCTTGAGGTTCGCGAGCTCCCGAGACGTCAAGAAAAACTTCAGCCACCTGTTCGGTCTAAAACAGGGGAAGAAGGAATCATTGTCGACCTTCCTAGCGAGGTGGAGGGCCGAGTCAGTCAAGGTTCAGGGCCTTGATGACAGGACCGGGGTGGCCATGCTCACAAACTCTATCCGATCGGGCGAGCTTTACAAAGATTTCGTCAGAAGTCCCCCCACCTCGTACGAGGAGGCGCTCGGCCGTGCCGACCGGCAAGCCGAGGCGGAGGACGCCTTGCAGAGGAAAAGAGATGAGGAAGAAGGTGCAAAAGAAGAAAAGAAGAAGGAAGCCGGTTCGGGTGCTGAGAAAGCTGACGGCAAAGCTAGCAACAAAAACAACAAGTTCAGAGGTAACAAAAGTAGAGGCAAGGGCAAGGCGGACGTCCCGAGCGGACCGCTACATCCCGTCAAGCAATTGACCCCACTTGCTCAGCCGGTCGGGGCCATCCTCGACTACGCGGAGGAGCAAGGTTTAGTCGACTTTCCGGAGGAGTGTGATGTGGTGACTGCCAAGCGCAACCACGACCAATATTGTCGATTCCATCGGAGAGCAGGGCATGATATAGATGATTGCGTCATTCTCCGACGGCAAATTGAAGAACTCATCCAGAAAGGGTACCTGGGCCAATTCGTTGGCAAACAAGGAGGCATCCCGCAGAAGAGGAGCCTGACGTGGCAGCGGTCCGACCAAGCTACCACGTCAAAGGAGACACCGCCTGCCAAGAAGCAAGAGCTCGGCGCCTTCTCCGAGGAAGACGATGCCGACCTAGGGAACGGCCCCCGGAAGTACCATCGATGTTCATTCATATTCGGGGGACCCTAGGGAGGCGACACCTCTGGAGAGCGGAAGCAGTGGGCCCGAGCCCTATACGTTGGGGAGATAACCAGGGCTCCCGCCGACAAGAGGGTGAAGAGGGACCCCATCTTCTTCACCGACGCAGATTTGCCACCGATGCCTCCGCCGCACAGGGAAGCCTTGGTCATCAAGGTCGAAATCAACAACACGATCGTCCACCGAGTCCTGGTGGACAATGGGAGCTCCGTTAACATCATGTACTATGACACCTTCCAAGGTCTCGGGCTGGACCGAAAAGACTTGATCCCGGTGAGAACCCCACT